GGGGGGGGGGAGGGGGGTGTGTGGGTAGTATACGGCGGGGCAATATAAGGAGAATGGAAACCTTGTAGTAGAGAATGTAACGTTATATTTTAACTGTTCTGCCAGTTACTGAAAAATGCAACTGGTCCCATCGATTGACTTACCGCAGTTCTCCTATTACCGCGTTTCCCCCAAAAATAAGACGCCGTCTTTTATATTTTTTGTGGCTCAAAAAAACACGCCGGGTCTTATTTTCGGGGGAAGGTCTTATTTTTTTTTGAATGTACAACAATCCAAAGTTAACGCAAATCCAAAATGGCAAATTTAAGAATAGGGTGATCGGGGCAATCAGGGGTGCCGTACCTTTCCAAGAGCAATTTGGGAACCAGAATGAGCGAAGCGCGCTTTCAGTATTGATTCCTCACAGGCGGAGTGCATTTGGTATCACTCCGCCTGTGACAGGAGGCGGGGCTATAGAGGAAGCATCGGCTAATGTGGCTCTGCTCCATCCACTGCCGCCTCGCTTCCTCTAGCGACGCCTTCGCTGGTACCGCTGATTCTCTCCCGCGGCTCTTCAAGTTCCCCCCAATGCCACCACCGGCCCTGGGAATGGTCACAACCAGGTCTTATTTCGGGGAAACGTTATTGGCTGTCACCTGCCAGAGTCAATGATGACGTCACAGCCGGCTCCGCCCAGTTGTTTTGACAGATCAGTGTCCCCCGGGTCATTTGGGGACGCCAACCTATTACATCTGGGCGGAGTGAGCCGCGGGATCCGGCCTGGCTCCGCCCAGCTGTAATTTGCGGGGCGATCGGTGCTCCCTCCGCCGCCGCCTCGCTTCCTCCAGCGCTGGCTTCGTTGGCACCGCTGATTCTCTCCCGCGACTCTTCAAGTTCCCCCCTTATGCCACCACCGGCCCTCGGAATGGTCACAACTAGGTCTTAATTTTGGGGTGGGTCTTATATTCAGGGAAACAGGGTATATTTGCACAATAGTCCGTGTGCGGAGGGAGTGGTGGGGTGGGATGGGATGGAGGCCTACCCTGTTTCCCTGAAAATAAGACCTAGTACTATTTTTGGGAATTGCTAAAATATAGGACCTGCCCCGAAAATAGGACCTGCCCCGAAAATAGGACCGGCCCCGAAAATA